ATAGTGAAGCACTCTGGGGAATCAATACAAGTATAAGCTGTTGAAATCATAAATAATGTTCTACGTTAAACTGGTACACAATTAAAAACGTTTTATTTAGGCCTATCCTATGGCCTTCATGTTTCGACGTTACACCCCTGAGGATACGACGTTGTAACGTCGAAACATGTAGAGTCGTCAACTTTTTGAAGCCCATAGATAGGCCTAAATAAAATGTTTTTAATTGTGTATCAGTTTAACGTAGAACATTATTTATGATTTCAACAGCTTATACTTGTATTGATTCCCCAGAGTGCTTCACTATATATGTTTTACGCTAACTTTGATAATCGTCTTCTTTATGCAATCAAATAAACTATCGTTGATTGTTGCCAGACAATTTTAATTTGCATTAACCTATAAAGGGTGCCCTCCTCTAATTTTCTTTATCCAATTGTTTGAAGTTTAATAACCATTTCAACCTTTTAGTTTGGTGATCTTTCCTAAGCAGTGGTTTTAAAGCAGCTGCACAACCAGTGAGGCTACTTTGTTCAAAAGAGTATCTTAATATTCTGATGGTAATGTTACGTCTCCGTTTGTTAATTAATTTCCCGTAACTTCGTTCCGATGAAACTTTAGCGACACAAGTCCTTACTTAATAAAACTGGTTTATTTTTTCCGAATATAACTTTACGATACACTTAATTTCAATATTCGCGCTAAAACAAACACTATAACGAACGAACGTTAACTTCAACAATACGTCTCTCTCTGACTGCAGTTCAATTACTCATTATCTACACACACATTATTGTCCCGTCGCGTTGTCACCCTCTTTTACATACCACACTACCCTATATCTAGTAAATACTAGAGCATTCGCCAAGGTACAGGATAGTTCTAGAAAATAGGTGGCGCCACACCAGTCACGTGACCTCGATGACGCAACAGGCAAATTTACACTTGTACTTACACCTAGTTCATCAGCAATACCTTTACTGGATTGCCACATATAGAAGATACTGCGAGTTATTTAGCACCCAATTTGAATAGTTGGGGGGTTTTACCTCGACAACTGCTATTATCAACAATACCAGATTCACTTATGCTATTCAGGGTTTTCATACCTCTTCTGTTGAAACATGAAATTTAATTTCAATCTGTCATATGAAATATTATTCACCAATCAAAACCTTGACTTCTAGACGTCTATTAGGTAGAACTTCCAGGAGTTATGATTGTATGCACCTAACTATTGCTTAAAATAGTATGCTTCCTGTACTTACAAGTACTATGCTGGTGTGTCACTGTCTGATTTGATGGATGAAAACCAATCACAGTTTAAACAGCAAACATGTGACTGTACTGTGATGTAGTTTATTTTCATACAGTTTAGGAAGTTATTCAGTAATATTGGAATTATATATCCATTTTTTTGTCAGTGTTTCCATATTTTTGTGTTCTAATAATGTATGCATTTTTTATTACTTAACGATTTTAAACTATATTCTGGGATTATTAATTATGTAAACATTAATAATGCTCTAACGGTGTAATATTTGGCACAACATTCGGACAGTAAGTTGAAATCTTTCATATCTTTATGGACAGTAAGCTGGAATGTGATACTGCATTTAGACAAATAAATGATGTATGGCACAGCAGTGAACAGTAAATTCAAATTATTGACTGAGTGCTTGGTATTGCTGGCGCACAAAATATAGCTAATAAAAAGGAAACAAAGGTCTCATAGATTGATTTACTCTAATCCTGACTAAAATAATTTCAAGTGCCGCGGTGTTGAGGATACCCTCTTGTTTTCCTATTTATTAACTATATTTTTGTGCCCAGCAATACCAAACGTGGGGCGCGCGTATACCCGATTCGATTTTACTATTCATCAGGATCTCTACCCTTAAATTGAAATTCCTTAAAGCAGGATTAGAGTAAGTTAATTTATGAGACCTTGGGCGTGGTCAAATACATCAATCGAAAGGATTTGACATCCTGAGTCAAAGACTGTAATTAGATTTCAAATCGGTCGAGAGATGACGGAGCCATGGGATAAAAGTTTGTACTTGAAAAAGAACAACAACTCAGAACCGTTCTATGCGCTTGTATGCCGCGGTTAAAAAAAGGTTTTATAGAGTTAAGTTATTTAAAGATTACAAAATGTGATATTTCAATGGCTGGCGAGAAACTACAAGTAAGTGAATGCGTAACAACAAAATCATACAGCGTAAATTTTAATACTTCTAAACTTGTGTTAACTTACTTAACTTATATACGTATACGTATATTTCAAATGTGAGGAAAACAAGGAAAGCATTTGTACAGTAGGCAAACAGTCTGAGTGTCTGTGTTGCCAAAGAAAATCAATATTTAGTGACCATTCTTTTATCTGTTATTGAGTTGTCAGCGTACAGAGAAGCAAATCTGCGAGTCCGAAACTTACCCACGTGCACTACAGTTCCCGCCTATATGTGTCATCAAAATGTGTATTACAGGATGCGAACAATTCCTCCAAGTTTTTAAGTATTTGTTGGACCGACCAATGAAATCGTTTGTTTCATAGATTTCTACTTGGGCCAAAATTGATTTATTTTAAAACATTGTCACTGTATAATTATAATTACGTTATAAATACCTTAAAACAGAATACAATTTCATTAATTGAACTATAAGGTGTCATTTGAACTAATAATCCTTTATCTCTTGCATATGAAAAAAGTACTTCAAATTATTGAACAATAACAAAAAAAAACTCAATAGATTTCACACGTTAACTTGTCACGTACTTAGTCCGAATAAAGCTGTAAATTGAGCGTTAAGTTCACGCTAGTTTCATAACAAAACGTTCAAGTCGTGGATGAACTTTAAATTGAGCTTTGAATTTTATAACACGCTTGCTTCACAAAGTAAGAATTAACAACCTTCAAAATGACTTCCATATCACGTTAGTTTAATGTAAAGTAAATTAGCATTCACTATTTTTTGTTATTTTCTTGCTTTCTACTAAAAGAGTCTCAATTTTGAGACAACTTTAGTTTTTCTATACCCGATTTTGATATTTACATTCCAAGAAGAAATTAATAAAGGATTGTAAGTGATATATCTTACGATACTCATTACCTGAATTATCACTAACCAAATCAGTGTTACTTTGGTTGGATTACTTCTGTTTTTGATAAGTATTAAGATTATTATTGAATTCAAAAGTAGTTAATGTTTAAAATTAGAAATTTTGTATGCTTTTTATAGTATACTGTTTACGTGATAAAAGAATGTTATACTATTGTTACGTTAGTTAATTTCCCGTATAATTTCTTTCCGATGAAACTTTAGCGATACAAGTCTTTTCTTAAATAAAACTAGTTTATTCTTTCTCAATACAACTTTGCGATACACTTGATTTCCACAGTCACGCTATAACTTAAACAAACGCTATAATTCACAACGAACGACTCACGCGCTTGACTCAATTGTCGTCTCTATACAAGAATACCGCATATCTAGTAAACACTCGAGGCTTCACAAAGGGACATGAATTTTCTCGAAGCTTATGACGTGTTACTAGCGTCACGTGACTTCCGCTATTGTAACACTATATTAATGGGCACCAACCGATCTCATCTAGGCATCAAAATATAATTTTTAAACCCGCAAAGAAATATCCCAGTGGAAAAAGATTGTCATGTAATCGTGAATAGTCAATTACTTAAAAAAGTTAATTTGTGTTTTGATATTTAGATATAAGTTTTTCTGCAACCGGCGTATCATATCTCTCAGAGATTCCGATCATTCTTAAATTTTGTGTACATAACACTTCTGTAAACATAACATAGTTATTGTTACTTACTCAAGTATCTTTTTTTTAGGTAAAGTTGTTTTTATACAAGAATATTTGTATAAGAAATCGCTTAAATCGCCGCTAATGAGTGTTTATGAAACGAAGCAAATACACAAGCAGAATAGGAAGTAATCAAGACCCGTTGGAAACTCTCGTTGATAAGCTTGAAGTATTTATGATATATAAGCTCGTTTGTTTGTTTATTACTAAGCACAAAACTACACAATGCTTTGTCAACCATAGGTATCGAAACCCGAATTTTAGCTTTGTAATCTGTGAGACTTACCGCTGAGCTATTGAGGGGCTACAAGCTGGTTAGCTATTGCTATCAAAGACAGCAGTGGGGCTTGTTTCTGCGAAATATAAAAATTAATGTATCATAGCCTGAACCATCCCTGAATAATGACTTGAATATTTATTCCGAGTGACAGCCACCCAAAGACAAACTAGACGACTTTAAGTGAAAATTAGTATATCACTTTTCATGATAAAGCTTGTGTAAGACAAGCTGGTCTGAGACATAACCTATTGTAAGTCAACTTTTAGCGCTTAATGTCATAAAAGTCCGGGAACTTTGTCGGTATCGAGAACGTTGATAAATACTATTTTTTTCAAAGCTCGGCAGTGTATATTATAGCAGCTGGAGCATCACATGTAATACGATTACATCACAGCCAGAATAAGAAAAACACGTACACGTCACAAAGAGAACATTCTCGTGTCGCATTCCTATAAACAGTACTGTATCCTTAAAAGGGGTTTCTTTATGCGACGCTGCTAACTTTTTTATAAAAGAAAGATAATTATGTAAGAAGGTAAATAATATAAATGTCGGTTATGTCCTTAATGTACATAGGTCTTTCTTTCGCTTTATATGACTTTAACAAATGTTTCATCTCGTTGACAAAATAGAAACATTTTAGTATGCATTAAAAGTGCCAGATTTACTTCGAGTAAGGGGTGGTGTGCCTTATCCACGCGCGAAGTATTCTAAATGCACAGGCATTACACGTGCCTTGGTGACAGATCAACCGTTCTTTTGTGCACGTTTTAACAACCATTCCAACAAGCTCAAGTAAAACTGGGAAGATAGTTGTCGAACAAGCTGCGATGAAAATACTCTTCTTTTGACATCATCAAAGGAACATGACATAAAAAAAAACGAAGAAAAGAATTTCTATATGTTCTGGTTCCAGATGGGTTTGTAGACTGTTTAACTGGTGAAGTAAGGTTAGACATTTTAGTTTTGGTTCCTTTGCTTTCTGAACAGTTATTTTCATTTCATTTCAAGTTAAGCTCAACCAGAAAGGAAGGAGCTTTAATGTAAAATATTTGTTGTAGATCAGTCAGTAAAATAAAGACATGAATAAGTAACTACTGTTAAAAAAAAAACAAAAAAAACACGAAAATGTCTAATCACCGATGATGATGATGATGATATATTTCATAGAAGTGAAAAATGTTGATTTGTTTTTTCAGTTGAAGCTGAATCGCTTCAGAAAATTTAAAACTAGAGGGATGAAAGACTAAGTCGTCTTGTTTTACACTGGACAAAGGTCTCACACAAACAATTGTTAATAAGCAAAGGATAACAAAATATCAGACATCCCTGGACTTTAGGTTTTTCCTGTTGTTTGTCGTCAAAACACCATAATGAACAAGTGAGTGAATGTCATTATATTGTTTGTTTGTTTGTAATTAAGCACAAAGCTACACAATGGACTATCTGTGCTGCCCTCACCACTGGTATAGAAACCCGGCTTCTGGCGTCAGAAGTTCGCTGATATGCCGCTGTGGGGCGTGTTGTTATATACTTCTACATCTAAGGAGTGTATATATATATATATATATATGAATTAGTACTTTTACGTTTTCTAAATTTCGAGATGAAGTGGCAGTTATTTACATTCTTATCTCAGAGGGGGCGATGAATTATAGAATAAGTTGTGAGTTGCTCTTCTGATCCTTTTAAAGCGTTTAACATAAATGTTCATGTTAACTTTCCTATATTGAATATAATACTATTATGGATGCATTATCTATGAGCAAACGTTATTTGCCCACATCGGTATGCATACTCGACAGTTTTCTCTGACGCCCTCAGAGTATTCGAAAAAGTTTCATATGTAGATTTCAAGATATACATGTAACTAAGATGAATTTAAACTTTTATTTACAAGGTTAAAATTTGGAGTAAACCACTAATATAAACATGATTTTCCCCCACTCGATAGGTTTCTTGGTTATATTTTCAGATATCCATGCATATGGGCGCTCGACCTAATAAGTTCTTTTTTATCAAAATGTTCGATTGTTGCCATACACCAGTTAGTGAGTACAATAATAACTACACATAACCAAGAGTAATAGAAACGGACAAGTGTAATTTGTAACTATGCTTTCTCTTCCAGCAGTTGATGATGTAATTGTAGTTTATATAGGTGACACAAAATATACTTTATCTAGTTTGTGGAGAAAGTATCGCTCATGACTGGGAATATGTATCATCTGTATAATCTCTTTGTTTAGGGTGTTATGGTAAATTATGAAAATTACTCTATGTCTCCAAAACCGGGAAAAGGTGTTTTATTGGAAATCTGGTTGTCATAGTAGGCTTCTGTTTATTTATCCTGGCTGTAAATTTTAAAACATTTTTAACTATTAACGTATACACTCCTGTTTGTTTGGAATCTGAATGGTATCCAAGTACAAGTGTCGGAGACAGAGAAGCATAAATCTGTCTGTAATTGTTAGATAATGAAAGAGGGTGTAAGATACGTATCAGGTTTACTTTATCACAACTAGCTTCTTTTTACGTTTTGATGTTTTTATGTACTAGCTAACGTACCCATTCAACGCACAAGGAAGGCGTAGGAGCCTCCGGAGATGACAGATCCAAACGCTGATCACTCGCCTAGGGACTAAGGATACCTGAAAAGTTTGGTGATAATGGTTCCAGCGATTCGCCACGTATAAACAAACACGCACACACAGACCTATGTCAAAGAATGGTTTAAGATATGTACGCATCTTCTAAAGGTTAAAAAACCTATATTTTGTGTTTTGTTTAAGCACAAAGCTGCACAATGAGCTACCTTGCTGTGCCCATCTTCATTTTATCCGTCAATATAATATAATATTCAGAAACATTAAAAGGGTAAATACCATAGGTATAAGAGGTTTGATGATATTTTTACCACTATGACGACTATGAAAGTATAGGATGTAAAGAATATTATATTTTGTATGAAACAAACAAACAAACAAAAACAACTATCCCGGCGCCTTTTTTTATAGCTGAAGGAAAAACCTGTCTTCCGAAAAATACTCTGGTTATCAGGTCTCCTATTTTGTGACATATGTATTTGTTTTGTAATTTCTTAATGTCAAAAGCATCGTGTATGAATACATTTATTATCTCTTATAATAATAGTTCATTCTCATGCCCTTATTATTGTGTATTTTGTTCTCGAAAAAGACAATTAATAATGTTTAACTTAGATGAGCAATGTTGTATTATTCACTTGTAAAGTTATAAAAATCCCATCTCATTGACATCTTAACCTTCGCATTATACTTTTAAAATATTCCATTAAAATGGGATCACCATAATATTAAAATAATGGTCTTAAACTGAAAGGTATATTTTAGCTTTTCCAATTTCAAACTAACTCTCAAGTAAATGTGTTCACGATATAAGTTGAAATATACCCACAGGTTTGAAAATTATGTGACTAGGTCTTCTTAAAACACATGTATATATATCTACGTTAAATATGTTAAATTCCTTATAAAGGTACCACCAGAGTGCTCTGAACCGTACTTTACCCACAAAAATCAGTTGTTCTTCTTATAAATGGTCCTGTATGTTTTTTTCCTCATCAGGTTATTTTTATTACAAAGATAGCAGCGTTATGATTTGTATGTGTATTTATTAACATTCAGTTTTTATATATGCAGAATAGTGAAAATATTTAGTGTATTTTTAGAGCATTGAAGAGTAATAATTTAACAGTCAATAGAATATTGGTTACTCACTACACAAGTTAATCACAAAGAAAATGTATTATACGTTCATCAAGTCAAAGCACATACATGTGTATGACGGTTTCGGAATACACATATTTATCGTTAGTAGATATCTACACAATACCATTTAAAGTAATGTAAAATGACATTAAGATCCACTATTACGGAACAAGTTTGTATGGATCAAGCTCCGACACTTTCACGCTTCCTCTTTAGTTGAACTGAAGAGAGCTAGTGAAAGTGTCAAAGCATGTTCCCACATGTACTATTTGTTCCGTAATAGTGGATCTTAACTTCAATTTAGTTTATCTAGATGTTATACAGTAATATAGGCTATTGTTTGTTTGTTTGTTTCTGCGTATTGGTTAACGCCTAAAGGCAATATATTTTGGAACAAACAGTATTACATTGAAAATTACCTTTAAGGTGTAGATTTTCTTAGGGTTATTGTGTTCGCTATTCTTTTTCACAGTATTACACTTGTGTTTACTTAACAATCTACATGAATGTGAGCGTACTTAACGTGTTCGGTGTAGTTGTGACAAAATGAAGTTTCAGCTGCAATAAAGTTCCAGTTCATGCTAGTTTTCCAAAGTATATATAAATAACTTGTGCATTCAAAAACGAAGTTAAATAAGTTCTTATTTACAAAGTAAATATTATTTAAAAATCAATCGACAATATGCAGGATTACCATACACTCTAGTAAATGATGTCGAAAAGTAAGTATTTCAATTGTTCTATAATTAATTAATTTTCAAACGTAACGGAGCTTGAGTGTAACAGCTGCTTTATTAACATTCTATGAATAATAATAAGCCATAGTATTTTTTATTAATAAAATCGAATTCTTAAAAATAATTAATTTGTTGAAATTATTAACTTCACAACTTTCAGGATGTTGGTTCTCATGGAGTGTAATTGGAATTTACAACATGAACAATGCCTTATGTGCAAATCGTCTAAACGGAAAAGGTTGCATGCCCCTAGGGTTCAGGTATAGCTGGTCCTAATTTTGGAAAACTGACCAGAGTGAAGCCATCCAGCCAACAGCACCCGCCGCCACAAGAGATTTCTCCGGGTCTTGAACCAAATAACGAGATTGGTAGTCATATTTTATAACAATCTCACAACTGAATCACATCTTGAAACTTGAACCATCTCGACTTCCAGCACGGTATGCTAACCATTGGGCTACGTCTGACTTGTAGATGCAATAAAATAAATACATTTAGTGATAAAAATCTTAAGTCATCAAGATCCAAAGTTTTGTTTCAAACATGTGCCATAATATGATCCCTGAAAAAATTATATTTTCAATAAGCCATCCTTTAAAAAATCATGTATTTAACACAAACAAAACATCGTCTTGGTTGTGATGTGCACAACACGAGGTTAATAAACGGTGAATATTTTTCATCTATTTTGAAAATTCCTTAATTAATATGCATGTTCAGTTTCATACTTCCATTTTACAAACTAGTTAAAGTCTAATAATCTGTACAGCATTGCATATGCTAATGCAGTAGCGTGTCACTGCAATACAGCTATGGGTGATATGTTTAACACCTATACATTTGGAGACATTCCAAACCTTCGATATTGCAATGTCATCAGAGATAGATGTATTTCTTGAGTAATATAAAGCATGTCCATTTTACAAGAAAGATACTGGTTTAACAAAAGTTTATTATAGATTTTTCCTTTCTTTTCACCAAAGGTAAAATTTAAAATATAATCTGTGACGTAGAGGGCTTAATGCAATATTTGATTGGTCGCACCCTCTGCTGTGGACTGCAGTTTTAATCTACATAACTTTTGTCACAAGATTGACGTATTATAATATAAACAATTTGTTTTTTATATTCTGGTGTTGTTCTACTTGATGTCAAATCATCTTTAATGGTATTCGGTTATTTGTATATCATTTTAAAGTTATTCTTCCTTAATATTTTCTCTAGGGACCCAATGTTAGTGTTGTAGCTAATGTAAAGTGTGTTTATGTTATTGTCTTCAAGGGATAATGGGTTTTCATGCTCTAAGATGGTAATTTGGAATGAAACGTTGTGGAAAATGAAATTATTTAACAGTTTTTTTAGAGAGGGTATTTTTAATTTTGTGTTCAAGCACTGTTGGGTGACATATTCTATAGGCCCTAAGAAAAAATTTAAAAGTAATTTAAGTTTTGACCTGTTTATGGTGACATGAAAAGAAGTACACATAACTTAAATAATTTGTCGGTTTACGGTATGCAGAGAGTACGGGTTTTAAGTTTTCTCTGGTTATCAAAATGTCCAAAATGTCGTCTTTCTCCAATTAAACTTTAAATTTGATATTTGGGTGAAGGTGATCAAAGTTTTTGAAATATTTTCAAAATATCTTCTTTGGTCTTGACACACAGAAAATATACCTTCAACACATCGAAACCAATGAATGTTTATGTTTACAGAAGGAAGTAATTCGGTTTCGAAATATTCCATGAAAATGTTATACAGTATCGAAAAAAGTAGGTTTCCTATGGCCATCCCGTATTTTTGTCTAAGTTACTGACCAAGAGAGGTGAAAACAGTCTTGTTTACATAGATTTTGATTAGAGAGGTAAAAGTGTCAATGGGAACAGGCAAGGATGTGTTTAGTTACGATATATTATCAAGACTTATGACAGTTTGTCACGTTTACTGCGTACTTATTTTTCTAATTGTTACACACGATATAACGCTATTTTATGAAAATAATAGACTGAGTGCTCACTACCCAAGATGGGGGAAGCAATTCCAGTGTAAGCACGTAATCTGGTACACAAAGTGCAATCCATTGTCCAATTAGTTTTTTGTTGTAGTAGTAGTTATTTAAGCGACACGAAAAAAACACGTACATTATATTCTTCAAATCTAACAGTTATGTGAAGATATTCATTTTATGTAAAAATATACAAACTGTACTTGCTACAATAAGCATATTTTCAAAGGCAATTGTGATTTTTAATTTCTAGAACAATTCATTCTCAATAAAAGTAATGCAGTCATATCAATAAAAATTCTGTAAAACGAAAAAATACTTTTCTATCTCAAAGCTGCCTAATGGCCTATCTACTCTTGCCCACTGCAATGATCAATCCCCTAATTTTAACGTCATAATCCTTTAAGCTTACTGGTGGGAAAACACAAAACAAAGACGCTGAAAATATGAAACTAAATATCAATTTTTGTCTTCTCTCAGAGAATATTGTTTTAAAAGATACTGTTTAAACGCCGAAAGCTGGTGAACCATTAAAAACTAATAGAAATAAAATGTGTAATAAAAATCACGTTAATTGAAGGTACTGTTTCACACAATGATCCTAGTTTGTCCATTGCATATTTAAAAAGCAAAGGAGTGTAAAAATAACATTTGAGATACATCTTTTGTCTCCAAATAGTGACTCCCCAAGTGACTTTTCATTCAATACCAGAACCTGTCAATTAGGCTGAAATGCTAGTTTTACACGCCTCTGATTTGGAATCCGCAATGTACAAATTCAAAGGAATGTGACATAAAAAAAAACACATTTGCAGTAAACGTATTTTTTATCACAAAAAAATTGGGCCCGTTGGTATTCACAGAGGGATAAGTTCTTCATAAACAGTGTTTAAAATTTTCAAATATATATATATTGTGTTATTTTGAGGTATTAAACTTGACATTAACATCAAAACACATGAAACAATAAATAATAAAACCTACGTCCAGCTCTTAAGGCTTAGTTGAAATCTTTCATTGCATGAAACACGTGATAGTTAGACATAAAATGACGAATATAAGGCAATATTAGTTTGTTTGTGGTTACACACAAAGCTACACAATGGGCTATCTGTGCTGTTATAAGCCTTCAGACTTACCGCTGAAGCACCGGGGGGGGGGGGGCTGTAATATTAGTCTCAAATGTTCTTGTGCACCTGACCTACATACATACGATATTGTTATACAATGTATTTGAGATAAGGAGTTTCAAATATATACAATAAAATAAATGGTAGTAAACGAAAGTATAATGCGAAAATAGATTTCCAACTAGTACGTTCCAATAGAAAATCTATCATTATTTTTTACTTGATACATCTCGGTACTAAGAAGAAAGCTTTTAACTTGGAAACTAATTACGAAATCTGTAATTCATTTTTCACATTTATATTTCAAGTATACATTTACAAAATAATTTAAAAGTAGTTTTTGGAAGATAGTAACAACCACCAGTTAGTCCGATTTTGGTGCAATTTGATCTTATGACATACATTTATGAAAACCTACAGAATTTCAACCAAAAAGATATACGAAATTACTTTGAAAGAAACTCTAAGAAATGTTAGAAATAGAGAAAGTCTACTAAGAAAAGTACCAAGGAACAGCAATTTCTTCACCATAAAATTGGTAAAGCTTAAAAATATATCTTATTGGTCTGTTTGTTTGTTTTAGAACTTTTGCGCGAAATACAACCGTCCCTAATTTTAAACTGAGGGAAGGTAAATGTAGTCAACAGTACCCACTCCCAACTCTAGGCTACTCTTGTCCAACCGAATACTGAGCTTTAAAGCGTACCCATGGTCCCAAAGTTTGGAGCTCGTTTTTGTTTTTCTTTTTTTTTGCAGCAGTGGGACACAACTACTAATCCCCTGATTCATAATTTTGCCATATTAACTAATAGGGTTCGCTCGGCCCATGTCATTAGTCGTTAAATATTTATGTTTTGTTGTTGTTGTTGTTTTGTCAAAATGTGGTATATTTTTGCATATTAAAGTTGCACCTTTAAAATATCAATAAAATTCAAATACTTTAGTTTTTATTTAAAATACAATTTATTTTGTTTAATAAGATAAGTTCGGTTCAAGTAGTTTTTTGTATATTTTACAGCAAAGCTACATTCAGCTAT